AAAAAAAAGTAATATCTGTGAAGTGAAATAAAGCAAAGCACAATTAAACAAGGCACGCCTATACATATGCTTCCTGGCCTGCCGAGAGATGTCTGGCTTTGACATGATATTTAGCCTTGTTTGTTCTTCCTCCACCTATGGGCAAGAAAACCTCTTCTTTACTCCTACAATGAATTGTGTCCTCTCAATATCCATTTAGAAGAAAGATGTGAGGTAGGGTCTGGGAATGAGCCAGGAAAGAAATTTTATATTCAAGCCTTGTGAATACCGTGAGCCAAGAATGCAAAGAGGTAATATTCTCATGGTTGAGAATAGTCAAGACTATAGTTTGGAAAAAATGACTGCATACCTCAATGTGGATTGAGTTAAGAAGGCATAAAGAAAGAGACCAGAAAATGACATCAAGGGAAGGAAACCAGAAAATGGCCCCAGGTGAAAGAAGTGCGGTACAAGAGGCCAGGAAGATACGGGCAGTGGTGGTCCAGGATTAGTCATCAAAAATTATAGTTCCATCTCTTTACCCATTGCTTGCTGTGAAATAGCTACTTCAAGAAACCACGTCTGAGTGACTGGAAGACTTCCTGAAAAAGGAAAGTTCTTTAAGATTTTATGGAGAGGTGGGAGTCAAGGAGTGAAGGCAGACAGGAAATGGAGCTGTAGAGGTCTTAAGAGGTCTTCAACAGAGGCAAAACACGCAGGGAACCAAGTCTGGGTAATTGTCCTGCTTTTGCCCTCAATACAGCATACAGAGCTGAAAGCAAAATGGGTTGGAGGATAACATAAGCTCAAAGAGGGAAAGTTCGCAATTGTCAGAAAGGTAATAGAGTTATAAAATAAACATGAAGTCAGCTTCATGTTCAGCTGTGGTTTGTTCTTTGGTAGCTGGTTAGTTGAAAACTATGTCAAAACAAACAAATAAAAACCTCTTTTTATTCTTTCTAGCTGCCTTGTGTAGCTATGACACTCCCAGGCCTATGTTCAGCTCTCTTTCTTTCCCTTTTTCTTTCCCTCCTGAGGCACTTATTCTTCTTCCATTATTCCCTCACTCAGTGTAGAATTCCTGGGAGAGACTGGACAAGAATGACCATCGTCCCAGAAGAACTGGTTGTGATACAGCGTGCCGAGCTGGTTCAGGACCTTGGAGAAGGGCAGGAGCCCATTCGCTTCCCACCCCTTTCACTGATTCCCTTGACGGCAGTGGGGGAGCTCCTCAAGATTCTAAGTCAGGCACNAATCTGAGGTCTCTGTAACAGTGTAGCATTCATCTGAGCCAGCTATGAAGTAAAATGCACTCTTGAATTACATGGGTTTAATTGAAATGTAATCGATAAAGGTAAGGCTGACTTTATCACATGATTACTGGAAAGTTTCTTTCCTTGGGTTTTCTAATAGAGTGGCACTGGTATTCTCAAGACTGTGCATGGCTTCCACCCATCCACCTACCCATCCATCCATCTGTCTGTCTATCCATCCATCTTTCCAAAGGCATTTGTTGAGTCCCAGCTGGAGGCAGAGCACTGGGCCCTACTCTGGCTTGGATATACATCTTTGCTTTTGTGCTGGGCACAAGAAAATCCCTCAGGATCCAGCTCCCTTTCAGAAGTGAAACCTTACACCCATTTCCTCCTGACACCTTCAGTCCTAGGAGGAGGTCTGAGGGCAGACTAACAGGATGGGCGTGGCTGCAGCTTTGTTCTTGCACAGAGATGGACAAAGAGCCAGCCACACAGACAAGGAAGGGCAGAAATGCCTCCAGACTTACCAGCTTGGTTTGTGGTGATGTTGACAGAGACGTGCTGTGGGGGGAAGGGGCTCTTGCTGGAGACTCCATTGACAGCCTGGATGTCAAAGGTGTAGGGGGTGTGGGCCCACAAGCTGCTGATGGAGACACGGCACTCAGTCAGGCCCAGCTGCTTTGGCACAAACTCCACGTTGTCATCGCATCGAGAGCAGCTCCGGCGGTCTGCCCGGCACTTTTTACAGATGATATTGTAGGTCACATCATCCCTCCCACCTGTCTCTCTTGGAGGGTGCCACTCCAGAATGATGGATGTCTCATTGACGATGGAGATGACATTTCTGGGACCTGATGGAACACCTGTAAGTAGACAAAGAAAGGCCCAGTGAGTCTGAGAAGAAGCTTCCTTGTCCAATGTCTCTCCATCTATCTTTGGTGTGTTCCCACCCTCATCAAATGCATAGCTCCCCTCCCCTCCTTCAATCCCAAATCTCCATGCTTCAATCTATTCTGAGAAAAAATGGTGGGCAGAAATGACAACCTGTCCCAAATTCCCTTTTCAGTCATCCCCACTGGGGCTCTCCTTCTTTCAATAATGTGTCCCAAGGAAGAGGAGGATGCAAAACCCGGGGTTCAAGTCTTTTTGTTCTTAGGACCAAGCCACATCTTCCAGCTTTAGTGTCAATGATATGTCTATATATTGGACACTGATTGGATTCTTTGTCTTTTCTTCACTGGTGTAAAACTCAACGGTTGAGGGATATGAGTGTCCTACCCAAAGCCCCAACATATTCTTATATCCTGCATAAAATCTCACACAATTTGAGATCTACATAGTGTGTACATGGTGGTAGGCATGTTTCTCTGTATGACAGGCTGCCAGAATACCTGGATAGATGAATATTCACATTGCACAAGCTTTAGTGCACAGACAAGAGGCAAGGTTGATGGAAGATTCATGCAACCACCATGTTTGACACCATGACACAAGAAAAGCATAGAGGGGGTTGTTCTAGACACTTTGCTAGCTACTTTGCATGCACTTAACACCCCATCCCACCTCTCAGAAAACCTACTGGGAAGACACAATCATTAACTCAATTTTATAGGAAGAGAAACTAAAGCTGAGAATGGGGACTGGCTGTAGATCTTTTGGTCTGCAAGAAAACCGAAGCAAGTATGAACACGTATACCTGCCTGATTCATGATTCCAAAGCTCATGTTTTTAACTATATCCCTGTGCTGCCTGCTAGTGAAACCAGCTATCTTTTTCAACTAAGGGAAAGCTGTCTCCAACCCCAAACTTACATGGATATGGTGCTGCAAATGTTGGTGGTCGGGTCACACGAGATTCGAATAAACTTTCTCCTACAAACCAGCCAGGCTCACTGGGACTCAGGAAGGGCAGCTCCTTCCCTCTGGACAGCTCTATGACTGCTGTTCTCACCCTGGCCTTGTTGAAAACTCTAGGAAGCCTGGTACTTCGTAGGAGGACAAAATGTTGCTAAATTAATGGCCACAGCGTTGGCCATTTTGAGATTAAGTTGGAGAACCTCCTGCCTAAGAACAGAACAGATCACAGCCTCAGGTTCCCAAGCCGAGCTTTGCATCTCCCCAGTGCCTAACTGATGGAAATGAATCCTGCCCAGAAGCCCCCCTTCTAAATGCTAGGTCTGCTGGAGCAGCCGCTCCAGATAGTAATGCATTCGGGATTCACGCACGTGACTGTCGCCAGCTGAACGAAGACATGTGTAAAGTGGTTCATGCTGGAGACAGGAATCAACTGCCAACACACAAAATGAAGGAATAACAACAAGGTCGGGGGGCACCAGGGAAGGATTCTGTGTTGAATCAGTCAACAGCAAGCAGCTAGAGCAGAAAGCAAATATTAAATCGAATTCTATTAAAACATGAAAGAAAATCAGTACTCTACTATATAAAGCCCATTAGGCCTGAGCTAAAGCACAACTTTCATGCATGCTTGTGACAAGGCAGGATTCATGAAGCATTTTTACCAAAGTCTTGCAAATAGCATTCAAAAATTCCCCACCCATCTGCCCGGGGATAAAATTCATTTCTTTTCGAATCTGCACAGGGCTAGCACTGGGAAGGCAGTCAGTACCACCCTAGGTGGTCTCTTCCTGGGCAGAGCCAGCTTCGCCTCACCTTGCATTGTTCATTAACATCTGTATTGGCCAGTACCGGTCTGGGACATGTCTGTTTGCTCAGACTGATGAGACTCAGGCCACAAGCTCCCAATGGTTAATGCCATTGCTTCTTGTATCACTTTCACAGCAGACAGCCCAGCCTCAGCCACAGGTCACTGTCTCTCATACTCATAATAAATACATACCCTGAATACTTGCTCTATGCTAGGCATGGGGGAAATCCTTTAACAATGTTATCTTATGGCATCCTCGGGACATCCTGAGGCTAGTACTAACATAGCAGCCTTGGGCAGAGGGGCAGACACAAGTACTGTCCTGGACTAACCATCCCTCCCACGCTTTAAAGACCACCTTCCTCAGATATCTCCTCATTCACTTGACTTTCAATTTCACCCTCTCTCCCACTCCAGCCTCTCTACTTAAATTTGCATAACTCATTGCCGTTTTAAAATTAAAACACCATCCCCTGGCATCTCTCTACATTGCATGTCTTCTCTTTTCTACTCTCCAGCCAAGCTTTTTCCAAAGTACAGTCACACTTGCTGGCTCTCCTCTCTCCCTGCCCCACCAGCTGCAGTCTGGTTACTTCCCTACTCCTCCACCACACCTGCCTTTCCTTTTGGCCTCCTACCTGACAAGTCCAGGAAACATAATTCAGTGCTTACCTTCCTTGTCACCTTGTGTTGTCGCCAGCCAGACCCTGGGAGTCACATTTTCCGTGTCCCACAAGACACGGTCAGTCGGCTCTCTCCCCTATTTCTTCAGGTCTTTCCCTTCCTCTATATGTCCCCATCACCGCATAACAAAGGGCTTCATCAATTTTCCTGCCCTATTGCAAAAGCGTCCTAATGAATTCTCCAATA